CCGGGAGGCGGAGCTTGCAGTGAGCCCAGATCGCGCCACTGCACTCCAGCCTGGGCGACAGAGCGAGACTCCGTCTCAAAAAAAAACAAAAACAAAAACAAAACAGCATACTCAAAGCACTTAGCACAATGCTTACTTACAGGCATGCTCATTCAAAGAATTCCCTTACACCAACCTTCTACTATAGAACTGAACACTGGTTCAATACAGTGAAATCTGTGATCCAGATTAAGAGGAAAGGAAGAGAAAGGAAGCCCTTCATCCTTCCTTTCTAGCTCTCTATAAACTGTGGCCTTTTCTCCCACCCACACAGCTCTGTTCTTTGCTTCCTAGCAGCTATAAATTTGACTCAGTAGACTTATTTCTAGAACCCCTGAACCCTTGTAGTCATGACCCACGTATGTGGTTCCAAGAAACTAAAAAAGACCCATGCCTGAAAGAGAAATCCTACCATCTCCTTTTCCTCTGCCCCTGTGATATCCACCTCCCCAGCTGGCCCTACTGCGTACTCAAGACAGTTTCTCCCTCATTCAGGGGTTCCCACTGCTGCAGCTTCCTCAGCCTCAGCAACTGCCATCAACATTAGTGCTTCTCCATTTAAAGAGAGTCTGGCATCAAACATTAAAGAGGCTGAGCAGCATTCTGCAAAATAACTGAACAGTACCCTTCAAAAGTGTCAATGTCATAAAAGACAAAGATCAAGGAACTGTCATATACTGAAGGTGACTAGAGAGACATAAAAAATAAAAAATGAAAATATGGGATCTTGAGTAGGATCTTCATCCAAAAAAAGGACATTAGTGGGAAAACAGGTGAAATTTGAATAAGGTCTATAGATTAGACCTAATAATATTCTGCTGATGTACTGGTTTCAGTAATTGAACCATGGTTCTATATAATGTTAACATTAGGGGATTTATGGGAACTCTCTATACTATTTTTGCAACTTTTCTTCAAAACAAATAAAAGTAAAATAAAGTTAAAACAATTATAAATGTGATTATTTAGGACTTTATTATGAAAGAACCTCTGTCCCAATGGACTTGTTAAGTGATATATTATTGTGAAAGAGTGCAACTTATGTGAGCCAGGAAGGCCATCACACAGGTTAATGAAAAGTCAATTCCAAGGTATAGAAAATCCTCCTTAATCACCACTGAGTTTGTAAATCACTAAGAGACTATGATGCCACCTACATATACTGAGGACTTGATGACAGCAAATCATATTTTGTGCAATCAGTAATGTTATTAAGTAAATATAGCTACTGAATAACATACTTAAACAATAACTCCACTGTGACCAACTTTTTACAAGAAAGAAGGAGACAGTGAAAAATAAGAAAGATATGCAAAAAAATAATATGCACCGACCTCCCTCTGCCAGACATCCCACACTATAGGAAACAACACTGGTCAACCCACTCTGAACAAAACCCCTTCCAATAGAAAGGACAGTCTGCTTTGCTATAGTGTGTGTTTCTGCAACATGAATTAACATAGACAACTGGTAAATGGAGAAAAGATTTCAGTGTAATGCAGAAGTTACATTGGTTCATATGTAATTTTTTTCCCAGATCATTAATGTTTTGCTTCATTAGTAAAGGCAACTGAAGGCTACGTATACTAATGGCAGCAAACCAGGAAGCAATCAGTATTATACATTCAACCTTTCTCTTAGAAGTGCTGTTGCAAAGTTAACCCTGATCTTTGTTTATAAATAAATAAATAAAACAAAGTAACACAAAACAATGAGGAGAGCATACAACTCTGGTATCAGAACATTTTGTACAAAGCTTACAAGCTTTTCTCTGTTTATGACTTCTGATGATAATGTCTTTCTGCCCTTGTATCCATAGACAGCCTCAACCCTTCCTTATACCACCTACCACTAGGCTGTCGCCACCTTTTATGTTTTAAGTAAAATACTACTTTTACTGCCGTTTAATTATTAGAAACTTTATGTCTTACAAACTGTGTTAGTATTTTTATTGAGATTGTTATTGTTTTCATCAGTGCTCTGGTTATAAAGTTGAATAAGCCCTACTGATTTAAGAATTTGCAAACTGCAAATTTTCCAGAAAAGCATAAATATTATAGTAGAAATGTTGTATTCCCACACATTCTGAATACACTGTCTCAAGATTTTTTTAATATAAAAAGGTTATACTTTTTTAATATAAGAAGGTTTTCAAAGATTACTTATCAATGAAGTATACTGTTAATATCAATTTCTAAACAAAATTACAAAGTATATTTTATAATTAGCTTTAAATTGAACATTTTAATGCACATTTCTGTATTCATCACACATTTCTTAAATAGGATGCTCCAATGTAATAACAAAAATTATCATCTATGTTAAAACCAAACTGATGCATTGTGTAAGAAAAGCAAATATTCAATATTTGACATAAATTAAATGTATATTATGAACTGTGATCATATCAACATCAATCTTCTAAAATGAAGCAGTTTCTAACTTGTATGAAAATACACAGATATAGGCTAGAAAGCATTTTTGCTCATAAGACTAAAAAGATACTTTTTTTTAGACAGGGTCTCACTGTCACCCAGGCTGGAGTGCAGTGGCACAATCACAGAGTACTGCAGCCTCGACCTCCCAGGCTCAATCAATCTTCCTACCTCAGCCTCCCAGGTAGCTAGAACTATAGGCCCACATCACTAAACCCAGCCAATGTTTGTATTTTTTGTAGAAACAGGGTTTCACCATGTTGCCCGACCTGGTCTCAAACTCCTGGGCTCAAGGGATCCACATACCTTGGCATCCCAAAGTGCCAGGATTACAGGCCTGAGCCACCTGACCCTGACCTAAAAAAAGACTTTAAATAATGCTAAAGAAGAATTTAGCATCAGATTTTTTGTTTCTTTCTCAAAGTAACAATATTGCTTCATGATCATCTGTTGTTAAATATGTAATACTAGTAACTAAGCATTCTTTTATGTAAATGGCTCCTCCTAAAAACAAGCACGTGAAAGTTTGTGTTATTTGTACATGACAAAGATATAGCACATAACTGAGTCACTAAAAACACAGTCTGGGCCGGGGGCGGTGGCTCACACCTGTAATCCGAGCACTTTGGGAGGCCGAGGTGGGCGGATCACGAGGTCAGGAGATCGAGACCATCCTGGCTAACACGGATGGTCTCGTGAAACCACCATCACCATCACAGTCGGGTGAAACCCGTTTCTACTAAAAATACAAAAAATTAGCTAGGCATGGTGGCGGGTGCCTGTAGTCCCAGCTACTCGGGAGGCTGAGGCAGGAGAATGGTCCGAACCCAGGAGGCGGGGCTTGCAATGAGACGAGGTCACACCACTGCACTCCAGCCTGGGCAACAGAGCGAGACTCTGTCTCCAGAAAAAAAATACAGTTCAACTGGAATAGCTATAATTTATATATCAATCCCAATTTGAATAGAATATTTTTGAAGTTAATGTATATAATAAATATCAATCACTATGAATATTTACATAAAAGAGTAATGTGCTCTTTTTAATATACTCCATGATATGGCAGGGTACTTTTATGAACCCATGCAACCTTGAATATCAAGGAGCCTTGTTTTATTTTTCAATTATCTATTCAAGTCCACTTGGTTAGAGATAGTGAGCATGTTTCTCACAGGGAAAAAAAATACTGCACAATTGTCTGTGTATAGTGTGACCTCTTTCACTTGGGTGGGTATCCTTTCCATCACCAACTAAGTGAGGATGTAACCTTGTCAAACCAAAGGCAAAAGAATAATGAGCATATGACAGGCTAACCCAGCATGGAAAAGGTTGTTCAGGAGGTTGCAAAAATAGTACTCTGAATGACAAAATAAAAGTACACTTCAAAGAGCAGGTTAATATTTTTAAAAGCACTCAAAACCTGAGAAGCATTTAATCCCCCTCCTTGGATGTCTGCCATACAAAACTCCACTTGAATTTATTTCATTAGTCACTAACCAGAGTTGGTTAATATATCTTCAAATGAATACTGGTAGAATAGTCTTGAAAGAAACACATTTATAGAATATCTGTTTCCACAAAGCACTAGCCGAAGTTAAGTACAAATAAGCAGACAATGTCGTGCTTTTACCAAACAATTTTAAGTTACCATCTAACAAGAAAAAAATCCTTCCAATTCAAGAATCGGAAATACAAATGGGAAAGGTATTTACCCAGTAGCAGGTTTTTACTGTAGCCAAATCAAATGGCAGTAACACTGCTACATTAATTGTTTCCCCTAACTGGCATAACAGGGAATCATACTATAACATTTTTATAAGTATTTGAAACCAGAAGAAATTAGACAAGTTTGGCTGCAGTCTTCCTAGTGTAAATTTACTTTTAAAGCAAACAAACAAAAATCTCCAAACCATTTAAGCATGTCCTAGGACTACGTATTATATCATTTTATCAGTTATGCACACTTTGACATTCCTTTTCTACATTAAGACCGGAATGAAATTTTTGATCCTGACCAGTCACAATATTGTAACAGTGAAACAGTGCCACCTTTTGGCCCCAAACAGAAGCATCCAGTACTAGTCTTTAAAATTTCCTTTTTCAGTTAAACTCCTGATGTACATAAATGTCAATGATTCTCATGTCATAATTATCACCTTCTAGGGATACTTTTTATCTATACAAACCAAGAAAACATTGGGGTAACAAAAAAGTTGCTTACCAAAATGCAAAATTTCAAAATATTCCAAAGTAATACTAAATGCATGTATTTTTAATAATTTCTAATCAACATTAAATACATTTTACCCAATCCAAATATGTTAGTCAGTTAACATATTTTAAACACAAAAAATTCTTTTTAGAGCACTGTTACACTGCAAAATTGATTTTTTAAAAACACATTATATTTAACATGTATTCAATTTAATAATTGGCAGTATGATATTAACAATGGATTACCATTTCAATCAGCATTAAGTATAAATAATTTTATATACAAATATAGTATGCTTCTGAGTTACTTACACCAATGATACAATGTCACCACGGTGTACTTCAAAATTCCTCACTTTCCAGTGGTTCAAAAGCACCACATCTGATGACTGGCTCCCCCCAGGATTCAAAGAAGGCTAGAAAATAAGGAGAAAGAGACACATCTATCATTTGTATTTTTCAATCTTCATGGTTCTTGCACTTCATAGCTCGAGTGGAGTGAAATAAAACATTTCTAATACAGTACCTTTCTATAAATTGCTGTTCTAAAGTAACTGCAAATGATGAGTTTTCAAAAAGGCTCATTGGGATTCTTCACAGATGAACCAGAAAAAAATAAATTGCCAATACTTATTTGAAAGGAACATGTGCTAGACACTAAAATCTTTAGTAAACTCCAGTAAAGAGGTATGAAAAGCCTTAAGAATAATATAAAAACATGACGAAGAAGTGAGTCAAACCTCCCAACAAAATATCCAGATAGAATATAATTCCACAGTAGTACACATCATTGTTCCATCTCGGGAAAAGAAGAAATAATCCCAAATCACAGTCATATCCACAAATCTTCACAGTCATATGAAGAACTGAAGAGGGCAAAAGAAAGATGTGATAGAATTATCATTATTAAATGTATGGATTTCCCAATTTGACCTCTCTTTTCTCAAAAGGGCACATGTCACGGGTCCTGGTCCCAATTTGAGCCTAATAACGGGCTTTCATCCTAGGATTCAGAGAAGTCTAACTGTGCCTGAGGATTAATGGATCAAGAACTGAGAAACATTTTGTGTAAGAATTTTTCTGAAGGTCAGGAACCATACAGGAACAAAAATTTGATTGGGGAACTATGAAACCAGCATACCTGTCATTTGGACAGGGGTACAGACAAATCCAATGAACAACAAGCTTGAGGCAAGAACAGGGGGACAAAATAATTAGAAGAGCTAAGACAGCCTTTGCACTGTTTTTTAATTCTTTTTCATTTTTTATTTCAATAGGTTTTGTAAGAAAAGGGAGTGTTCGGTTACATGAATTAAGTTCTTCAGTAGTGATTTCTGAGATTCTGGTGCACCTATCACCCGAGCATTGTACACTGTACCCAATGTGTAGGCTTTTATCTCTTACCACCACCCACATTTTCCCCCGAGTCCCCAAAGTCCAATGTATCATTCTTATGCCTTTGTGCCCTCATAGTTTAGCTCCTACATATCAGTGAGAACATACAATGTTTGGTTTTCCATTCATGACTTACTTCACTTAGAATAATAGTCTCCAGTTCCATTCAGATTGCTGTGAATAACATTATTTCGTTCCTTTTTATGGCTGAGTAATATATATATGTGTGTGTGTATACATATATATATATATATACACACACCACATTTTCTTTATCCACTCGTTGATTGATGGGCATTTGGGCTGGTTCCATATTTTTGCAACTGTAAATTATGCTGCTATAAACATGTGTGTGCAAGCACACATCTTTTTCATATAATGAGTTATTTTCCTCGGGGTAGATACCTAGTATTGCTAAGGATTGCTAGATCAAATGGTAGATCTACTTTAGTTATTTAAGGAACCTCCACACTGTTTTCCATCGTGGTTGTACTAGTTTACACTGCCACCAACATTGTAAAAGTGTTTCCTTTTCACCACATCCACACCAACATCTTTTTTTTTTTTAATTTTTTGATTATGGCCATTCTTGCAGGAGTGAAGTAGTACTGCATTGTGCTTTTGATTTGTATTTCCCTGATAATTAAAGATGATGAGGATTTTTTCATATGCTTTTTGGCCATTTGTATATCTTTTCTTGAGAACTGTCTATTCATGTCCTCAGCCCACATTTTTTTTGTTTGTTTTTTTGTTTGTTTGTTTGTTTTTTGAGATGGAGTCTCACTGGAGCGACCTCAGCTCACTGCAAGGTCCGTCTCCTGGGTTCATGCCATTCTCCTGCCTCAGCCTGAGTAGCTGGGACTACAGGCGCCCGCCACCACGCCCAGCTAATTTTTTGTATTTTAGTAAAGATGGGATTTCACCATCTTAGCCAGGATGGTCTCCATCTCCTGACCTCATGATCTGCCCACCTTGGCCTCTCAAAGTGCTGGAATTACAGGTGTGAGCCACTGCGCCCAGCTTCAGCCCACTTTTTGATGCAGTTGGTTGTTTCTTGCTGATTTCAGTTCTGACTCTCCAAGAATGCTACCATGGGAAGTGGCCATTTCTGTGGTGATAGGAAAGGTGCCAAGCAACAACTGAGGCTCTCTGCCTTCACTGAGGAGCCAATGACAGCAGCCAGTGGAGACACAACAACAGCAACCGGGGCAGAAGCAAGGAAAACAGTGAACACAGGGCAACAGCCAGTCCCTGGAGCAGTAATGGCATGCCTTTTGTTAAAGATTCCTGGAATTATTTGTAGATTTTCTACAAAGCAAGAGTTGACAAATATGTCAAAATTCTGCCTGGAGGCTATTATCCTGACACTATTTTTGATCCAGGGTTTTGCAGCTGAAAAACGCTGGTTATCCTTGAACATCTCAAACACTGCCAGAGCTTTCACCAACTCCTTTAGTGATAATACCTAAATCTCTAACTTAGTTTTAAATTCCCTGCTAGTCATTTCACTTGACTACCTGATAAAAAATTCAACAGGATTAAAATGGAATTTGTTATCACTTCCTAATAATAAAAAGGTTTTTTTTGTTTTTTTGTTTGTTTTGAGACAGTCTCTTCTGCCTCAGACTCCTGAGTAGCTGGGACTATAGGTGTGCACCACTACGCCCAGCTAATTTTCGTATTTTTAGTAGAGACAGGGTTTCACCATATTGGCCAGGCTGGTCTCGAACTCCTGACCTCATGATCCGCCCACCTCAGCCTCCCAAAATGCTGGGATTACACATGTGAGCCACTGCATTTGCCTCTTCTTTTTTTTTTTTTTTTTTTTTAAAGAGGGTCTCGCTCTGCCACTCAGGCTGGGGTGCACTGGCATGATCATAGTTCACTGTAGCCTTGAATGCCTGGGCTCAGTCTCCCAGGTCCCAGGTAGCTAGGACTACAGGTCTACAAATGCATACCACCACATCCAGCTAAGTTGGTTTCTTTTTTTTCCCTTTTTTTTTTTTAGAGATGGGAGGATCTTGCTATGTTGACCAGGCTGGTCTTGAACTCCTGACCTCAAGCAATCCTCCTGTCTTATCATCCAAAGCGCTGAGATTACAGGTACGAGCCACCATGCCCAGTCCTTTCTTATTTTCTTACATTCAGTTTACCCTTTCCCAGTCAACCAGCTTAAAAATCTTAGTTGTCTTCTTACTTCTCATCCAACCAGTCAGCAAGCTAAAGAGATCTTTTTTTAATCATAATGTCTTCTACTTTTGGCACATGTTTTCTTTCCTCTCTAGCATCATCATATTTCAAGCACCAATCATTATGCAATTCATGCTATATCTACACTAATCAGTCTGTCACCTCCAACTTAGAAATGATTCCATTTCTTTCTAGTTATATGATCTTCAGCAAGTTACTTAACTTCATTATGCCATACATTACTAGGAAAATGGTGATGATTATTATTTAATTAATAATTAAATAATAATAGCCAATACCTACCAAGTACTTACCATGTGTCCTAGTCTAATAACAATAGCCAGATACATTAAGTGCTTACCATGTGCAAGACACTGTTTAAGGGCTTTACAAATATAGTTGACCCTTGAACAACACAGGTTTGAACTGCATGGTTCCACTAATACACAGATTTTTTTCAATAAAAGTTACACTGAGTGTGCCTGCCTCTCCTGCTTCCCTTTCCACCTCTTCCACATCTGCCACCCCTGAGACATAAGACCAACTCCTCTTCTTTCTCCTCCTCCTCAGCCTACTCAATATGAAGACAGTGAGGATGAAGTCCTTTATGATGATCCTCTTCCACTTAAGAAATAGAAATCTTTTTCTCTTTCTTATGATGTTCTTAATAACATTTTATTTTCTCTATCTTACTTTATTGTAAAAATATAGTATATAATACATATAGCATATAAAAATATGTGTTAATCTCAACTGTTTATGTTAACAGGAAAGCTTCTGGTCAAAAGTAGACTATTAGTAGTTAAGCTGTGGGGTGTGGGGTAGTCAAAAGTTACATACAAATGTTTGACTGCATGGGAGTTGGGTCCCTCACCCCGTCATTGTTCAAGAGTGGACTACACTACCTTACTTGGTAAGATCATTCATTTAAAGTGCTTATGGTAGTTCTTGGCCCATAGGTGACCTCTCAATAACTTCTATTATTGATATTACTACATCACAATTTTAATTTTAGGCAGGTCTGTACTCTCTACCCCCAGGATCCTCCTCTGTCTCTATCCCTAGTGAGGAACAGAGTCGATATGGTAGCGTAAGTCCAAAGGGCTTTACTGAGCCATGGTGCTAGGGAACGGAGCTTTTGTCATCACAACAGTAGGTTAGATTATTAAAAGTTGAGCTTCCACAAGGGTACACTCTCTATTTCATTCATATTTCTCATTCAAATTCTCTATCTCCCTCTTCCTCTCTGTCTTTGACCTCAGTATCCACAGGTCCTCTTCCCTCATTTCTTTGTATTCTTCTTCCTATATAACTGACACAGTAAAGGTGACCTGGAGGGAAACTATCTGGACTCTGGACCATAAAGAGAAAATCTCCCTATTGTACTTTCACTGCATTTGGTTTTTCTTTTCTTTTTTTTTTTCTTGCCATAATAGTGAAGGAACAAAAGGTGATTTAATTATTTCCGACTGTTCTTCTTGGTCTCTTTTACTGGTGGGTTTTTTTTTTTTTTTTTGAAGTTTGTGACTGTAACTCGTAAGATCAAAAATCCCAAGTTCACCATCACATCCTATGATTATTTCTATCAAATATTTAAATGTGCATTATAATCGTTCCCTTATCTCTCTTTCTAAGAGTCTATAAGCTCTTATTTTTTTAAGTTTTTAGACTTATTTTTTATGCCTATATTTTTGAGATCGGGCACTTTGCAGGTAATTAACACATTTTAGTGGAAAGAATTTTAAAAATCAATTGGTGGAATTTCCAAAGATTTTCCAAATTAACAAGGTCAAAACAAAGATCCTATTCCAGCCTACTCCAGCCCCGAAAT